AGCAGCAGCAGCGGTCGCGGTGGTGGCAGCAGGCTGGCTCCTGTCCCCTTTTCCAGGGGGGGAAGCAGCAGGAGGAGGAGAGGGTGCAGTCCTTCCCTGGGGAGGGAGGTGGTTGGCGTGGGGGGCCGAGCAGGGCGCCGCGGCGGGGGCGGCGGCGGGGGGCGGCTGCTGCTGCTGTCCCGAGCCCATTGTTTTGCTGGCTCGCTTGTTCTCCAGCCCCTCGGGGGCCGCCGCGGCCTCCGCGCCCAGGATCTTGCCCTTGAGGGAGGCCCGCAGGTGCCGCAGCTCGGGGCTGATGAGGCCGTTGAGCTGGTGGTTGTGGTGCGGGGGGTGGTGGTGGCGGTGGTGGTGCCGGTGCTGCGGGGCCCCCTTGTCGCCGCTTCCTCCTCCTCCTCCTCGCTGCTGCTCCCGCTCCCGGCCGCCCGCGGGTCCCTCCTCTTCCTCCTCCTCCTCCTCCTCTTCGGCCTCCTCGTCCTGGGCGCCGGTGCAGGCGGCGGCGGCGGCAGCATAGGAGGCGGCGGCGGCAGCGGAGGAGGAGGAGGAAGCGGCCCCCCCTCCTCCTCCTCCCGCGGGGAAGGGGGAGAGCGTGTCCCCCTGCGGGGACAGGACGCTGCTAGGCCCCGGCGGAACCTCGGCCATGTCCTACGGGAGAGACCGACACAAACTCACCGGGGAGGAGGAGGGGGCGGCGGCGGGGGACGCCAGGCCGAGCAGGGGAGACGGGGAAGGGGGGAAGGGGGGGCGCGGCGGCCTCACGGGCCGCGCTCGGCGGGGAGCGCGGAACGGGGAAGGGGGGGGGCGCGAACAAAGGCACGCGCGGTGCCCGGCCGCGCCTCGCCGCCCCGCCGCCGCCTGTGCGGGCCGCCCCGGTGCCCCCAGGGGCTCGGGCGGGGCCCGTCCCGGCTCCGGGCCGGGGTCCCCCCGCCGCCCCACTCACCGCCCGCCCGGGCCGCTCCCGCTCCGCCGCCGCCAAGCGCGGCCGTAAAACACCCGCCGACAGCGCCGGCCGGCCCCGCGCGCGCGACGCTTCCGCGCTTGGCGGCGGCGCCTGGTGACGGGGGGGCGGGGCCAGGAGGGGAGGGGCGGGGCCGCCGCGGTCGGGCGGGGCCGTGTGCAGAGAGCCCTCAGAGGGCACGGGGAGGGTGGACGTGGGGATAGAGGATACTGGGTCAGAGGGAGACAGGGATACAGGGACACGGGGATACAGGTATACGGAGACACGGCGATACAGGGATATAGGGACACGAGGATACAGGGACACAGGGATATAGGGACACGGGTACAGGGACACGAGGATATAGGGATATAGGGACGCAGGGGTACAGGGACACGGGGATACAGGGACACAGGGATATAGGGACACGGGGATATAGGGATATAGGGACACAGGGTTACAGGGACACGGGGATATAGGGACAAGGGGACAGGGATACAGGGACAGAGGGACACAAGGATGGAGGGACACAGCGAAACAGGGACAGAGGGATACAGGGGAACAGGGACACAGGGGAGCAAGGACACAGGGATCCAGGGACAGAGGGATATAGGGAAACAGGGATCCAGGGACAGAGGGACACAGGGTTATAGGAACACAGAGTCACAGAGACAAACAGAGATTCAGAGACACAGAGTCACAAAATCACAATCAATTGAGTTGGAAAAGACCTCTGAGATCACCAAGTCCAACCTATGATCAAACACCACCGTGTCAACCAGACCACGGCACTCAGTGCCATGTCCAGTCTTTCACAGAATCGCAGAATCACAGAATATCCTGAGCTGGAAGAGACCCACAAGGATCATCCAGTCCAACTCCTGGCCCTGCACAGGACACCCCAACGATCCCACCCTGTCCCTGAGAGTATCATCCAAATGCTCCTTGAGCTCTGGCAACCTTGGTGCTGTGACTACTGCCCTGGGGAGCCTGTTCAGTGCCCAACCACCCTCTGAGGAAAGAACCTTTTCCCGAAATCCAACCTAAACCTCCCCTGACACAGCTGCAGCCCTTCCCTTGGGTCCTGTCACTGGTCCCCACAGAGAAGAGATCAGTGCCTGCCCCTCCTCTTCCCCTCATGAGGAAGGTGCGGACTGGGATGAGGTCTCCCCTTCACCATCCTCGTGGCCCTCCTTTGGACACTCTCTAACAGCTTAATGTCTTTTTCCTCAAACACCTCCAGGGATGGTGACTCCACCACCTCCCTGGGCAGCCCATTCCAATGTCTAATCACCCTTTCCGTGGAGAAATTCCTCCTCAAGTCCAACCTAAACCTCCCTTGGCACGCCTTACGACTATGTCCTCTCATCCTGTCCCTTGTTCCCTGGGAGCAGAGCCTGACCCCCGCCTGGCTCCATCCTCCTGCCAGGGAGTTGCAGAGCCAGAAGATCCCCCCAGAACCTCCTTTTCTCCAAGCTGAGCCCCCCCAGCTCCCTCAGCTGCTCCTCATGGGACTTGTGCTCCAGACCCTTCCCCTTCTCTGAACTCACTCCAGTCCCCCAATGTCCTGCCTGCATTGAGGGGCCCAGAACTGACCCCAGGATTTGAGGTGCCACCTCACTGGTGCCCAGCACAGGGGCACTACATGTTACCGTCTGTGCTGTTTTGTTTGATCAGCCTGAGCCTGACCGGGCACAGGCGCTGCCCACAAGGACACTGCCAGCGGTGTTTAGTCTGGGGACAGGTGCCAGAGGTGTTTTGGTGACACTCTGCTGCAGATCAGAGTGCAGGAGTTGTTACTTTTCCTTCCAAAAGCAGCGTGAGGGATGTCATTCCTGTCTGGATAGGCCAAGGCAGGCCTTGGGCTGCACTTGTGTGACTGATAACAGTGGAAATTCAACAAGGCTGAAGGAGGTCTCAAACTATCTCTGCCTTGAATAATCTCTTTTAAGAATGTTACTAGATATCACAGCAACAAACAAGTCCTTTAGATGTGAAGATTCTATTAAGGTGCACACAAGGACCCTCAAAATGCAGAGTTTTTTTCTTTTTTTCCTTTTCTCACATGAAGATTTGCGGTGCCCTTTTAAGACTTGCTTTCATTTGCTACAGTTATTTTTCATGGAAGTGGCAGGTCTGGGCTTAAAAGGAAAATCCAGCAACTGCTCTACGTGTCCTAACAGGATTCTTTAATTAGGAAGAATAAATAGTGTGGGGTTACAGGCTCCTGTTTATGAACTGCTGAGGGCTGAAGGAAAGAGGGAAAAGATTAAAAGACCTATTGGAAAGTAAGGGAATTATAAGGCTTTTTTTTCAAATTAATTAATGATGGAAATACTTGAATTTTAAGAAAGAAATGGGTCTCTCTATCCTTTAAGATTTATTTATCTTTTTCCAAGGCTCTAATTCCCCATCCCTGGAAGTGTTCAAGTTCAAGGCTTGGAGCAGGTGGAAATGGTCTAGTGGAAGGTGTTCCTGCCCATGGCAGGGGGTTTGGAACTGGATGATCTTTAAGGTCCCTTCCAGCCCAAACCATTCTAAGATTATTCTATGATTCAGAAAGATTATTGCACATTGTCTCTATCCCTCTTGGCTGTGTCCTGCAGTTGCTCTGCAGATCTGTTTTTAGTTGCTCGTATCTGCTCCACAGAGGTGTTCACACACACAGTTGTGTTCAAGGGTTTAATGTTTCTTTGGTGTGTTTTCAGGCACCAAAGGACACTTGTGGGCCCGACAGAATTGCTCTGGCACAAGTTCACTGTCCTCGGGTAGTTTAAACAGAAAGAGCAAACAAATGTGTTGTCAGTGCAGGGCTGGCCCAAATTCTGTTCTCCTTTGCCAGTGAGATTGAGAGTGTCAGAGCCACATGTGAGGGTGATGTCTGTGTGAAGAAGATGATCCTGGCCAGGAGGCATTGTTGGAGAGGGTGAAGATGATCTAAATTATCATGAAAACACTGTATTTCCTACAATGAGGTTACAGGTCCCATGGGAAAAAGCCCCTCTTGAGTGCTCTGTAACACACTGATAACATTCTTTGTCCCACTTCCAACACCTGTTAAACCACCTCCAAACTCAGAAGTCCTGGTTGTGGTGTTGATCTTAACAGTTCATGTCCACAGCTGGGGTCTGCTTGACCAAAGGCAGATGTGGGTAGGACAGGCACCTCTGAGTGGTGTCTGATTCCCCTTCACATCCATGGAGAGGAAAAGGCATTCCTGTGGTGGGATTCAGCTCATCCTGAGGTAGACTTCTAAAACAGGTCAGGGGAATTGTGCTTTGGAGGTGGCATCAGCCCATTAAATAAAGGGATTTTGACATAATTAGTTCAACCCAGACTGATACCCCCACTGTCACCCTCTAAAGTGAGGTGGGGCAACCTGGTCTAGTGGAAGGTGTCCCTGCCCATGGAAGGGGGTTGGAACAAGTTGATACTTAAGGTCCCTTCCAACCCAAACCATTCCATGATTCTATGGTTCTGTGGCCACTGCTGAGATGTTCTCAGTCTGAGTGCCTACTGTGCCTAAGGCTGGCTTATTTCTTGCCTTTATTATGACAACAGGTGCTTTTAAAATGCATGTTGTCAACCAGAAGTCACACTTTTTATTATTATGATTCTTTTTAATAACTTTAGGCATTTTATTCCTTAGTTTTCCTGCTCTTCGAACATCCAGCAGCCCTGAGCACCCTCATGCCATAGCAAACCACACCTTCTGAAGTAGGGATGGGGCTCGAACACAGGCCTTGTTGTTTGTCACTCTTTGTTCAGTAACTCTGTGACTTTGGAGGTTTCTATGCCTAATTTATTTGTAAAGGAAACAGCAACTTTGGAAACTTAGTTCTGTTACTTGTGAAAAGAAAGGGAGCTGCTCATGGCCTTCCTCCTCTTCAGGATTTAAGGCAAGTCCCTGCTAATTGATTTAATTTCACAGTTGCTCTACATTAGATCTGATCCCAAGGTATTATGGTAGAAAATGGACACCTTAAACATACCATGTTCCCTGTTGTAATAAAGTGACATCCCAGCTGCACCAGAAGTAAGGATGTCGGGAACAAAATATTGAGCTGTACTTAATCTGGGCAATAAAATGTAGGAGAAGCTTGACAAAGAAGCTATTTTTTTTCCTCAAAGAAGGGGAATTAGTGTGACATGAGTGTTTGACACGGAAGTAAAATGTTCTCTGTTCTTCACTTGTCAGCAATGATTCTTTAAAAAGTTACTCATCATGTAACAGCGACCTTGTTACTTGAGCTCTGAGTAATAAAATTATTAAGTCTCTTTTTCTTTTCCACTTCTCCAGGTAAAAAAAAAAAAGAGATATTTTAGAGTCTGCTTTTTCAGGTAGGCAAGTAGAAGCTTTTCATGGGCCTTGCCAGTGTTATGGCCCTGGAGATGTCCCCCTTCCTGGGGATTTGCCCATTTGGGCTCAGGGACAGCTTTGAGATAGTGGCCAGCAGCTCCAATAAATACAAGATAAAAGCAAAGACATACATGCCAGTCTGAAATTTCTGCACTGAACTCTGTGTTTACAGAGGAAATGCAACATGTGCTGGCAGAGGTGGGAATACCAGGTCTGTCCAACTTCCTGCAGCAGCACATAGAGAATCATATAAAAATTATACAAGGTTTTAAGCATAGGGAAAGAGGAATTCGGTAAAACCAAAGCGTATGTGCGTGTATCAACTGGTGTTGTTCGGTTCCCGCTGAGGAAACTGGCTGTTCAAGGGTAGGATTCGTGCTCAGAGAGGGAATCATCCATGTAAAATGGTTAATCTGGGAACGCTGCGGTTTACAAAGTGTTGTAACGAGAGAAATCACAAGAGGGGAGTGTTGTACAGCACTCCGGCGTCTCTGCAATTCCCACAGCAGTGACCCCGTGCCATAA